GAGATCTTTGCCTTTCGCGGTCCTGGCTCCTAAACTAATAGTAAGGTCCTTTTGGTCGTCTAGGTCTAATATGAGGGTGAATTGGTCTCTCCAGTTGACATCATTAAGAAAGTCTATCTTATTCATTTGAGGGTGGACTATACCCATATAGGATATTGATAAATGGGTTGCTAGTGGCCAAATGAATTTCTGTATATCTGATGTGAGCCCATTAATATCCTCCAGGCGGATAATGTATCGCGACTCTTCGATCTTCTCAATTTGGTTTCGGAACTGGCACTGCAAATCAACATTGTTGAATGATGACTCCAAAGAAGGGCAAGTTATGTTCGGCAAAGAGATAGTAATCTCAAGAGGTTTCTTCATAGCATTCAACTCTGGGTTTTCGAACAGTGTTAAGAGTTGGGCTAGGACTAACAAACCAGCAGGGCCGCGAGGATACGATATCTCAACCTCTTCCCGATTGAGTATGATTGTACTGAACTTCTTTAAGACATCTAGTAACTTCATCAGTTCACTTTCTTCCCAATCAAGTTTCAGATAAACCTCATGATCATATTGCGGCATAATACCAGATAGTCCATACTTTTTGTGTTGTTTAGCTTCGTTGATATCAAACATTCTCCAAACAGGGGCGGGGCTGAATACATAGTTGCTTCTGCCACTTATAAACTTCCGAAGAAGCTTTTCTTGCTCTGAGTCTAACTTAAGTGTACAATCCTTTTGATCCAACTCGAGCTGTTTAAGTCCATGTCTATCAAAAGTTGACGTAGAATCTTGGTCAGCAGACTTCCTACTTGAATGAGGTTTACCGTCCATGCCAGATTTGTTAGTTTGGGGATTGCTTGATTGAGTTCTTGAATTAGAGGGCTCTGGATCTGTGGGCTCCTGTTCACTTTCACTTTTGACTTCCATTTCTTTAAACCTATTATCAAGTTGAGCTAGCGTTTCTTTAATTATCCTAGATATGTTGCCGAGACTTTCGAGTTCATTATGTTTCAATAATTGATCTATCACTGGATCTATAACTTGAGTTCTATCGTCCCGGTCTAACGTATCAATCTTAGGTAGTATTTTCTTTAGTTCTTCTATTATGATCACTTTGATTCGGCTTTTTAATCCATGGGAATTGTATCGGACACCTATTGCGATTAGACCATTGACAAGTATGCTTCTGCATGAATTGGGGGATTGATTTTGTGGGCCCATTAAGTTACTCTCAATTTGGCTTAGTTCTTCTGCTGTATCTATTAGATTACATATGCTCTCTATTCGCGGTCCCGGTTGCATCTGGGTATTCTTGCTTTCCTCTAACCATTGTTCCATTTGTTGGGCAATTACATCAGCACTTTGCCGTATTATTTCTTCTTTAACTAGTGCAGATATCAACTTAATCTTCACCTGTCTGAGTCTATCCTTTGATTTGTCAGAGAAGCTGCGATTGCTTTGGGTTGAGTTCATGTTCTTAGAAGCCTCTTGTTCTTTTTCCATGAGGTCCTGTTGGCACTTCTTTAATTCATCTATTTGCTTTGATCGACTCTTACTTATGTCTTGCATCGTGCGTACTTTTTCGATTATGTTTGCACGATCCTTTATTCCTTGTCTAAACATAACGTCCATATCCCAGCCTGGAGCATCGTTATTTAACATGTTATTATCTGAACCATTATCTAACCTAGTTGTGTTAACACCATTATCCGACGCATTCGTATATGAATCCTCATCAGAACTACACCAGACACAACCCAAACCAATAACCAAGCAAACTACTTGATAAACATTCAAAGAGTATTCATTTAACCTTCTGTTCATTTTACAAGTTGCTATCTCATGTTTTTATTTATAGACTATACTATATCAATATCAAAAATATTCTAGTTGTAGCCAAGCAAATTCTCTAAATTAGTAGAATATCAAAAAGACTTACTTTCTAAGTATGTCTATTCAATACCAAACCAATACCAGCCTAATACCAAACCAATACGACCACTACTTAGCTCCCATAAGATCAACCTGATGATTTGCCAGCTAACTACGCCTTGCAACTTTAATAGAGTCAATCTGCTTTGACTAATTTGGCTTTACATATCTACCCTACAATTCAATATGACGTCATCCTCACACACAACCATATTTATTTAACAAATCACATCGATACTCGTCTCAAGGAAGGTCTTTAATAGAGTAGGCATTGGCCAATGAACCCT